ACAGGATTCCTTGAGAAATTACTAGAGTTCCATGTAAACTATCACAAAATTCACTATAGATAATCCCTGAATTCCACGTGACTTACTGAATTTGAGATTTTTGTAAAAGGTTATACCTATCCCATAGTCTCGTCCAGCCTGTAGCCCTTTTTAAGACACACCATACCGGCAAGTCAGCATAATACATCCGCCACGGTGTGTCTTATGAACGCTCTGTGGCAGTATGGCAATGCATGAATTTTACGGTGTTCGTGCCAGCATACTTGGTTGTCATGTTGCAACAATGCTGGACTTGTGAATGCATGTTACACAAAATAAGCTGTGACGGTAAATTGGAGAGATGCAGAGCTCCAGGAGCTTCTCTCCATTAGAGCTGGAGCTCTGATGACCTGACCATTCATGGGGACTGTGAGTGACAGACACCTTTAGGAGTGGCTTGTGAAAATACTTAAGGAGCGCAGCTTCGATCGCAATAATGAATGAGTTATGTCCAAGTAAACAGCCTAAGGCTCCCAGATGCCAGCTCAGTTTTGTGTTGAATTGGCGGCATTGTTTTTTGAAAGAGACTTGTGTAATTCTGACAAAAATTCAACAGGTATGCTGGCCTGAGCCAGTCCTTACTGACTTGGCTGCAGCTGCTCCAGAAGCTGTTGCCAGGTTTCTTTATGGAGCATGGAAGTGGGAGCATGCCTCTCCCCTCTTGACTTCTTTGGACTGGTTACCAGTGACACACTGTGTCCAATTCAAGATCCTGGTCTTTGTCTTTAATTCTGTCTGGAACTGCCACACCATATTTGGCCTCACTCCTGACCTGCTATGTCCCTGAAAGATTGCTACGTTTGGGTCAGACACACCTCCTGGTGGTACCACAGTCAAAGCTTAAGTCAAGAGGCTTTGGAACAAACTGCCACTAGAATAACGCAGTCCACATCACTGCCCACTTTAAAGCTAGGCTGAAGGTTTATCTAGTTCTTAGCTTTTGCACTCATGTTTTAATGTTCTGATCATTTTTTTATGGCTTTTGAAAATTTTTACTGACTTTTAAATGTTGTATTTCTGCAATTTATTATATTTCTCTTTTATTGTGTTTTAGCTGTGCTGAACACTTTGTTCAGCACCTTGGGTCCCCTTGACTGGGGGTAGGAAGAGTCTTTATAAATAAAGTTGAATTGAATTGAGCTATGACTGCACTCAGATAATTTCAGATTAATCTAGTTCTACAACAAACAATAAACCTCGACAATACTAATAATCATGAAATAATAAGAACCTGGAGGTTCTTCTCAGGCGTTCTGATGCTGAAACTGATCAACTTTATCAGGTGTATCACCAAGTTTAAAACAGCTTTGACATAAATGAAGGTCAAAGGTCACAGAGCTGATCATCTCTGTTCATTAGGCTTTGGAATCCACAACCTAAAGGGGACAACCTGGACCAGGTGATTCATGGAGACCTAGTTCAGCTACTAGGGCTGCATGGTGGTGCAGTTTTTAGCACTGTTGCCTCGCAGCACGAAGGTTGCAGGTTCGAAACTCGGCTGCGGCCTTTCTGCGTGGAGTTGCGTTGCGTGTTCTCCCCATGCGTGCGTGGGTTTCCTCCGGGTACTCCGGTTTCCCCCACAGATCACAACATGCCCTGTAGGTTATAAATTGTAAGTCGCTTTGGATAAAAGCGTCTGCCAAATAAATACACATTAACATAAACATAAATGGGTTTGTGTTTGTGTGTTTATTCATTTAGCAGACACTTTTATCCAAAGCGACTTACAATTTATAACCTACAGGGCATGTTGACATCTTGATTGTCCTGGCTAAATTTATCTCTGATCCTGTTGTCCCAAAGCAGAATGGGGGCAATACTATAATATAAGTTAGTTACCATAGAGATTTATTCAATAGAGCTAGCAGTCTCCATGCCAGGCTTAGCTCCAGGATATATTAAATCTCATTCCTCATCTCAGTCAGCAGTCACCACAAATGGGTATTCCACTGCCCACTACACATAATTATGTTGAAATGTTTTTGATCAGTAATGTCAATCATTTTGGATAAATGATGATTTATGATAATGCAGCAATCATTAACCAATTTGCAGGTTCCCATAAAATATAAGGCAATAGCTGCGTGACCTCAGAGGAAAACAATTGGACATTGATGAAGTCAATATAATCATTAGCTCATCTATCAGAGTGTCAGCCTACCGTCTGATGAAGTTACACACTTTCAGTCATATCTGCTGGCCATTTCAGTTAAAAATTTCAACTGATTCATAAATAATATCCAACAGTATTTTGGGAGATGTAGGTATTTGGATTGTAACTGGGATGGGATGTTTCAGCAGAGCAGTGAGTGTATAATTGTGCACTACATGTGTCTTAAATTGTAAAAATGGCAAATGGCCTGTATTTGTATAGCGCCTTCTTAGGGTTCTATAACTCCTCAAGGCGCTTCACAATCAATTATCAATTATCCACCCATTCACACACACATTTACATGCTGGTGACGATGAGCTACAATGTAGCACAGCTGCCCTGGGGCTCACTGATGGAAGCAAGATAGCTGAACACTGGCGCCACTGGTCCCTCTGACCACCACCAGCAGGCATGGTGAGTTAAAGAACAAGTCACCCCCTACCAGAGTCTTACTCCACTCCCACTTCCTGTTTGAAAAATGCAACAAATGCTGTTGCCTAGCAGACCGAGAGGGTGGAGCCGCTAACCAATAAACACACACACAGGCTCACAATGACATTGTGACATCATGTCGTACCAGCTAACATTCTAGGGTACCTCTTAGCCAATAGCAATGGCAGATTTAAATTCAACTGCAGTACAGAGTTTTTACCTGACAATGGCATAACACTGACAGTTTTAGGCAGAAAATTGAAATTTTAACTAAAATGCACTAAAGTGCAAAACTATTGACTACATGTATCTGCAGCACGATTAGACACGCATTTATATAGTTTACTAGAAAAAAAAGTTGATATGGGGTTGACTTGCTCTTTAAGTGTCTTGGGCAAGGACACAACAGTAGTGTCTGTTCGATCTCCAGGATCGAATATACAACCTTCCGATTACTGTACAACCTGCTCTACCTTCTGAGCTACTGCTGGAATAAGTGCCGGCACACACCACAATGTATGTCCATTTGTTCTCTGTGAGAATAGAACGGGAGGTGGTACTGTGTATTGGTCGACTTGAAGCACTGTGCACTACCTGCACCTTCAGGTGGTCGGCAATACTTTACAACACTAACTCTCTTAGCTTTATTACTGTGGTGGTGTTGCCTTTCTTTTTAATAATATCTTTACTTCATTGTTTGCCTCCATGAGGATTTCTGCTTCCAACAAGAAAAATTAAGCCGCTCTACTATTCATGGTATATCAGCTAATCTGGGATCGTTGGCGGGGTCTTTTGGAGGGAGTCGTGCACTTATCCAGGATTGGTTTCAGAGGCTTGGATGAGTCTTAGCGCCTTTTGAGAAGGCTGTGGTCACCAACCTGGGGGTGAAGTTGGATGTAGAGCTCACACTGGACACCCAGGTCAATGGAACAATCAGATCCTGCTACTTCCATCTCAGGAGAATAGCTAGGATTAAGCCATTTCTTTCACACAAACATCTGGAAACTGTCATCGACGCCTTCATTACCACCAGACTGGATTACTGTAACTCTCTTTATGCAGGCATCAAGCAGGCATCCATAGTGAAACTGCAGAAGGTCCAAAATGCGGCAGCCAGGTTACTGACTGGTACCAGGAGATCTGAACATATCACGCCCGTCTTGGCATCCCTACACTGGCTTCCAGTCTCTTTTAGAATTTTGTTTAAAGTTCTGGTGTTTGTTTTTAAATGTTTAAATGAGTTGGCTCCACGTTATCTGACAGACCTGATTTAGCCTTATGTTCCCGCAAGGAACCTTCGGTCAGCTCAACAAGGACTGTTAGTTGTTCCGAAACACAGACTGAAATCTCGAGGGGGTCGTGCTTTCCCGGTGCTGGGGCCGAGGCTCTGGAATGAGCTACCTGCATGGGTTAAACAGGCCAGCACGCTCGACAAGTTTAAGAGCTAGCTGAAAACTCACTTTTATTCTTTAGCTTTTACTCAGGAAGAGTCCCGTTAACTGTTGGCTTGGCACTTTTTGCTGCCCCACCAGGATTTTATCTGCATGTTTTTGCTGGTTTTAAATGGTTTTATATGTTTTAATTTATTTATTTATTTATTTTTTAATGCTTATTTCTGCTGTGCAGCGCTTTGTTTGGTCCTTGGGCCATGTGAAGGTGCTATATAAATAAAGTTTTAGTTAGTAGTTAGTCTTAGAGGGGTGGGAGTAAATAAGTTATCTTTATCCTACTCCTTTCCAAGCTGTTTCTTGTTTTTCTGTATTTTGCAATGTAAAGTGTGTGTGTGTGTGTGTGTGTGTGTGTGTGTGTGTATATATAAACATGTGTATATGTATATATGTGTGTTTATTTGTATATATGTGTTTATATATATATATATATATATATATATATATATATATATATATATATATATATATATATATATATATATATATATATATATATATATATATATATATATGTGTGTGTGTGTGTGTATACGTATATGTGTGTATATATATATATATATATATATATACATATGTATATATGTATATTTGTATATATTTGTATGTATATGTGTCTATATATGTGTGTGTGTGTGTGTGTGGGGGGGGGGGGGGGGTGACATTCTGACTTAGAATAAACTTTTCATTCATTCATAAACCATTCATTCAATCTGTATCAGCTCACCCCGTCTAAGGTTTAGGCAACCAAAAAGGCCTGGACTTATGTTTTTGATTCAATGAGCACAGTTCAATCACTAATCCAGGGTTTCATGATTCTGCATTTTGTTCATGACAATACTTACCAAGGATCAGTTTTAAATGGACCATTAGCTTTGTTCTTGATCCCTTAGTCCAGTGTTTGACCCCTTATCTCTCCTCTTTTCAGTTTCTCACCAACTGATAACAAGTTTGCCACCTGCTCAGATGACGGCACTGTCCGGATCTGGGACTTCCTGCGCTGCCATGAGGAACGAATCCTCAGAGGTAAACACATGTTCCCAATAACACAACACCCTTCATTTTGTTGTTACTGTTGTGTTGTTTTGTCGTGTTACTCTTGTGTTGTGTAGTTGTGTAATAGTTGTTGTGGTATTGCTGTGTTGTTGCATTACTGTTTTTGTATAGTTCTGCTGTGTCGTTTTCGTGTTAAGCCTAATTTATGTTTCTGCGTCTGCCTTGGTATGAAGACACGCAACGCCATTATCCGTCCTTATGAGGTTTCTCCAACAGGCTCCCAAGAACGGTTGGAGTTGAGCCCACTTTTCTAAATATTTGTCCAACAAGACGGAGAATGCAAGCTTGTGATGGGTCAATATGACACAAAACACTACAAAACCACTGGAGTTCCCCAAGATTCTGTCCATGGCCCCCTACTATTCATAATCTATCTGCGTCCTCTTTGCTCTATCTTTCAAAGATTCAGTGTAAACTTTTGCTGCTATGCTGCCTCAGTTATATATCTCCACCACTCCATGTTCCCTACTTCCACCACTTTCAATCATTACCTGCATATCAGAGATCAGGCATTGGTTTTCCTCAAACTTCCTCCAATTGAACTTAAATGAAACTGAAGTCCTTATTATGGGAACAAAATATGTGTTGGGGAAGGTTGAAACCCTCTCCTTACATATTGAGAAGACCACAGCTGCCTGTCTGGATCAAATCAAAAGTCTTGGCGTCATTCTTGACAGTACCTTGTCCTACCGGTCCCATATTAGTGCAGTTAGTTACCCATAAGGCCTACTATCATCTTCAAAATATCAATCGCCTCCGTCCATCACTCTACTCATGTCACCGCCATCTTAGTAAATAGTCCGGTCACTTCTCGCCTGGATTATTGTAATTCACTCCTTATTTATTTTTTAATGCTTATTTCTGCTGTGCAGTGCTTTGGTCCTTGGGCCATGTGAAGGTGCTATATAAATAAAGTTTTAGTTAGTAGTTAGTCTTAGAGGGGTGAGTCTGCCTCAAAAGACTCTACATAAACTTCAGCTGGTTCAAAACTCTGCAGCCCATATCATCACAAACACTCCTTCATCTTCTCACATTACCCCTGTTATTCAGCAGCTTCATTGGCTACCAATAAAATTCAGGATCATTTACAAACTATTACTTCTTACATATGAGGCCATTCATAACGTTGCACCCTCATATGTCTCACAGCTTCTATCAACTTATACAATCCTCCTGCTCAACTTGTCACCATGGGAAGCCGAGCGTTTAGTAGATCTGCCCCGTCCCTTTGAGATTCCTTACCGGCTGAGCTCAAGAACACCACATTGCTCCATCATTTCAAAATTAAGCTTAAAGGGACTTTACGGAGTTTTGAATTTATATGCTTGCGATTGCCCCCTCTGGCCAAAAGCGTAACGGCAGCTTCAATATGAGGCTCATGCACGAGGCGCGCATGCTGTACGTGCACACTCCTTAACGAAAATAACGGCTGAGACGAAGCTCTGTGAAGCTGACGGGAGTCAGCTTCACAGAGCTCTGAGAGCTGACAGACCCTTGTGTGTGTGTGTGTGTGTGTGTGTGTGTGTGTGTGTGTGGCTCGGAGGACAGAGAACAGGAGAACACGCAGCTAATTAATTAAATAATTTGGTTCTGTACTTTTCTCTTCAGCACAGCCGACAAAGGTTTAAGATGGGTCAGCTCTCCTGCATGCTCAGATAATTCCATTCCCTTACTTGAAAAATTGTTCCAAAATGAAAGTTGAACCCACATCTTTTGTTATCTGTGAATTGAATGCCGTTCGGCGAGTCTCAAATAAAAATTTGGGCATCTTACTGTAAAAAAATATATCATTAATGTAAAAACGAAATTCATAAACAACCATGTTAACATCCAGAATCAAACTCGGGTCTTCTGCATGGAAGCCCGAAATTTTACTAGGCGAGCTAAATCGCCAGTGGCGTCTTCTGTATCTGTAACATTTATATCCTTGATCACAGCTGAAACAACGTTCAAAGAATGGTTCGGAGGGCTATGCCTGAGCGTGAACGCGCATGAAGCTGCCTGCTCGACCCAAGCAGCTCTTTTTCTGTGATTTTTCAGAAAATTAGGCAATCACAATAAAAATGCCAGGGCTCATTCTACAGGACCAGGGCATTGCAGGAGAATGTATTAGAAAGAAATTTCTATACATGTTTTGGCTGTCAAACTTCCATAATGCCCCTTTAAAACCCACCCACATTATTCACCTGGCTGTCAAACTTAAATGCACTGTCTGTAATAGCTCCCAAGTTTGTAACAGTCACAGTCGCCACAAAAACTGATGATTCCATTCCTGGCATTTGACGAAAATACAATAGCCTCAGTCTTATTCTCATTGATGCTTAGGTAATTTAAAGCCATCCAAAATTTCGCATCTGTAATGCAGTCTAATAAAGGCTGGACTGAGGTAGCTGAACCCTGAGCCATAGGCAGGTACACTTGTGTAGAGAAGGTGGTCTTACATTTAATTAGAAACCATAGAATGTGAAATATCATGAATAATGAGATATCACCTTAATGGATCTTTGAGTAAATTTAACCAGAAGATTGGATCTTTTTATTGCAGGGATTGAGCAACACCGTATCAACTCCAAGAAAGAGAGAGAGTCAGGTTTAAAAAGTTAAAAGATTTATTTCCAAACACAGTAAACAAGACTAACTTTAAACACTATGTGATGATGAACTAAGGTGGAGTAAGACTGAGGATGGTGCATGTGTGAATAAGTTCAGAACCAGCAAATCCGGAGAGACTATTATTTCTGAGTGGGAGTGAAAGGGTGTTTCGCTCTAAGCTTTTGGTTCGAGATTATAACACACTTTGAGACACCATCTGTCGGTCTGCGTACCCCAACGGAAGTCCCCGTTTAGATCCGAAATGTCGGAGGTCCAGCTTTAGACCCTCTTGGAACCAACGCTTGTAGATATGCAGTGGTTGCCGACCCTTCCAGTCTTGAGTTACTCCCAGGTCACGACAGTTTATTGGCATCAGGGAGACCCTGAAGGTTCGTGATGGTTCAGCTTTTATTCTGAAGGAACCATTGCAGCAGGTGGAACATGCAACAGATTTAATCCAGTTTGTCGTTAGGTTCTTTCGGCTTTAAGAGGTACGGTACGGATTGGCCACTCGGATAACTTCTCTAGAAAGCTTTGAACTCAAGTTAAGATGACGTGGGGCATAGTTTTATAATTTGGATGTTTTGATTTATGGTTGAATCAGACTTTGACAACATAAGGGGATTTACCAAGCACCAACAAAACCACACCTCGCGTCAGATCTGGAAGGTTCTGATTGGATCAGAAAAAGCAAATGTGTCATGTGACTTTTAGCATTACGTGTGATCAGTCTACTGTAAATATTTAAAGTTATATTACTTATTATATACTATCCTAGGATTATAATATCAAGTAATTAATATTCTCATTTCACAGATTGATTGAACCTTGAGCTTCACATGATTATTTGGACTAACAAAGTTATTTAATTATCATTTAATAGAGAAAAGTTCTGTCATCTTTCTTCTTTCTTGTGCTGTCTGGGGAAGCAACAGTTTAGATAAGAGCACAGAGCATGAGTGGCCTTGGCCCATATCTTGTAGATTAGGCTTCTGTCAGAAACTTAGGGTTTTGCTTGGGCAGAGCAAATAGAGCAGGGCCTTTTAGGTCAAATATGGGCAATTCATCATGCTACACTTGGCAATCGACAGCATAGAAATTAAATTAAGTTTTGCGCTCACGAAAAAGGGCTCCAAGAGGGAGAAGTTAAAGGGAGAAAAAAAGAGGACCAAGAACAGATCCCGTCGTCCATTTTGTTTGTTTCTTTTCCAACTTTTTTATTTCTGTCTCTAATTCTATCTGTTTTCTCTCCCTTTCTCTCTTTATTCCAGAACCTATTGAAATGAGTTTACCTCTTATTGTAGCCTTTCCTGCATCCCACAGCACTGTTGGTGAAACCTCCCCATTATCATTCATGTCAAAATATTCTATTAGGGCTGATCTCACTTCCTCTCTTACATGCTTATCTGTTAGTAGGGATACATTGATTCTCCAGTATCTACTCTGAGTTTCTGATCCTATGTCCAGCCTCATTGTAACTGGGCTATGGTCTGAGATTGTAATTGGTTCAATTTTGCATTCTTTAATTGTAAATGTGTCTTTCTTAACCATAAAGAAGTAATCTAGTCTTGAGTAGCTTCCATGTACCTGTCCGTTGAAAGTAAAATCTTTTTCGTTTGGGTGGAGATTGCGCCAGCAATCTATTAGCCCCAGCTCTTCAATCATGTTTGTTAGACTTTTAGATTTTCTGTTTTGTGGTTTCGAGGAGGTAGGTAGTTTATCTAACTTATAGTTGATTACGCAGTTGAGGTCACCCCCAATAAGAATCAGACCTTTCCCTCTCTCCACAATTAATTGAGCCATTCTTTCGAAAAATTTGGGACAATCTTCATTTGGTGCATAAATATTTAGTACCGTTAACTTAACACCTGCAACTGAGCCAACCACTATAACATATCTACCTTTTTTGTCCTCAATTATCTCTTCATTAGTATAATAAACATTTTTATTAAATAATATAGCTACTCCTCTTTTTTCTGTTGCCATATGAGGCACTATATACTTGATCTACCCACTCTCTTTTTAGTTTTTGATGGTCTGTCTCTGATAAATGTGTTTCCTGGAGCAGAGCTATAGAGAATTGCATTTTTTTTAATTGGCCCTGGATCTTCTTACTTTTAATGGGATTTTTGATTCCCTTTATATTATATGTAACTACTTTTAAATAGTTCATTGCTATTTTGTTTCGAAAATGTATTACCTTTTGATTGCATGTAAACACAAACAACAACAAATAAACAAAAATCTAATTGCTCATACACATACACATTATAGAAAAATTTAAAGCTACTTGTCAGTACAACATCTTTCTTTATATAAATCTGAGCTTCCAAACTACTAGCCTGTCGCAGTGTTGTTTCTAGAACTGTGTCTGGCTCCCGTTGGTAAGGGACCAGGGAGTGGTGACTTAATCTCCCTGTAGAAAACTTTACATAGTGTGCAATGACGACCAATAGTACATATTTATGTAAAAGAAAAAGGTCGTAGTTGCGCATTCTTCATGCGAAAAAACCCCAAAAGAAAACCCAATGGGGAATCACGATTCTTCCCGTCAGACTTTTAACCTAAGAATATATAACAGTGTCCTTGACAAATTTCCTATTAATTCCTTACTTAAATAATCCGCATTTATCTTTGTTTATTTTATATATTTATTTTTTTGACCACTTATCTTGACTGAAACTTCATCTAATCATGCTGTTTTAATACCTCTTTCTGTGTTTTAGCCCTCCTGTGTGATGGCTTCCAGGTCAAGTGGCTTTATCTTCCCCTCTTTTTTTTTTATTTTTATTTTTTTACTTCTAATAGTCCAGTCCGTTGTCGGTTCCTTCTCTGTGTGCTTTTCCTCCCCTCCGTATACCTGGACACCCAGGCTGCTCAGCACTTCGGCCGAACTCGTCAATGTAATGTAGGTCTTCTCTCCCGAGTCCAGCTTCAGTTCAAGCCATGCCGGGTACAAGCATTTTACCCCGATACCTTTCTGGCATAGTTGTTTGATAACTGCGTGCACCCTTGCTCGCTTTTTCTGCAGCTCTGGCGAGTAGTCTTGATCGAAAAAGATCCTCTTGCCCTGGAAAAGCACTTGTCTTTGGCTCCATGTTTGCGTCAAAACGAGATCCTTCACAGCTGCATCCAGGAATCTCACCATCACCACAATAGACCGAGGTGTTGCCAGGTGGTCTCTTGGTCGTACTTGGAGCGCACGATGCGCTCTTTCTATCCTAATGTCCAAGTCTGGGGGGAGCGTCAGAACTTTATTTAATAAATCTTTAATAAAGTCTATCAAGTTTCCACCTTCGCTCTCCTCTGGCACTTGGAAAATCCTCATATTCTTCCTCCTTAGTCTATTTTGGAGATCTTCACAGGTGTTTGTCAGCTCCGTCTCCCGGTTGAGAAGGTGGTTAAGCTCCCTTTGGTGCCCCGTCTCGCTTTCTTCCAACGACGCCACTCTCTCCTCCAAACTCCTTTAATCTCTCCTCTTGTTCTCCTATTTGGCTCCTTATATCCGCCACCGCCTGTTCCAGTTGATCCAGGGAGGATTTTGTGAGGTTGTATCTTTCTTTATTTTGAACCCGCATTTGTTTGATTTCCTCTAAAAGTTTGGTCTCACTCATTATCGTGCAACTGGTGGCTTGTGTGCTGGCTTCTTAGGGATTGCCTACCTTTTGCTGTTTATCCTCCATATCTCTCGTATGGGCCCTTTCCCCAAGGCCCCACCTAGATTTATTATTTATATTGAATGTTTCAAGTACTAAACTGTTGTAGTCTCACAAGTGTAATAGTAAATCTGCACACAGACAAATTTATGTTCTGAATTTGTACCTTGAATTCCTTTAACGGTTATATTTTGTTTTATAACTGCTGCAAGATGTTCAATGAAGATGGGGAATAGTGATAGTGAGATTGGATATCCTTGTCTGGTTCCTCTGTGAAGTGTAAAACTGGGTGATGTGATTCCATTGATTGTTATTGTGGCCCTGGATGAGGTGTACAGTAATCTAATTTAATTTGTGTGGATGATTCTCCAAAGCCAAATTTTTTTATTGTATTAAATAAAAATTACCAGTTAACTTTATTAAAGGCCTTTTCGGCATCTAATGGGGTTATTACCTTTTTAGTTTGTTGTTTTTGGGCTATTTCAATTAGAGTGAATAGTTTGCGGAGGTTACCTGCTGTGCAATTGTTAAGTTTCTGTTATGGTGTCATTGTTCTTGTTATAAGGTTGGGTTATGGGGCAAATTATGCCACCACTGGCGATTGGCCAAGCATTTCCCCAATCAGTTTTTATGAGTGACATTTTCTATGCCAATGAATTAGTCTCACGGATGGGACTTTGCAAACGTCCATCAAATCAGTATCTTTTTTGCAACTCAAAACTATGAGTCTTGTGATTCCAATAATATATGGCAGTCAATGATTTACCCTAACTGTTGATCCTGTAAATGCTTTTGTCAAACCACTCAGAAATTCAAAATACTGCCCAACTCCAAACAATAGGTGAGGGGTTGCACTCTCCCCCCACCCCCATTCTGCTTGGAGAAAATAATCAGCTATCGGCTGACAGGTGAGAAGTTACCGCCCTCCATTATCACATCTGTAGTGCGAACCAACTGCTGCACAGTTTATTGTTGAATGATTGTCCAATAACCAATGAAATTTGGAAAACAACAAAGTCTCGCATGGTGCCCCCATGGCTTTCTTCAGCAAACTGAGTTAGAGTGATTGTGATTGGTGGAGCACTCTGTGCAGTGTGTGTCTGGCCCACACAATTTCTAAACGTCTCCTGTACCAACATATTGTCTATCATCATTTTTTGGACAAAAAAAAAGTGTTGCCTGGAAATGTTTGGTATATTGCACAATCATGTGTTGTGTTCTTCTGTGCAGGTCACGGTGCTGATGTGAAGTGTGTAGATTGGCATCCCACCAAGGGCCTGGTAGTTTCGGGCAGCAAAGACAGCCAGCAGCCCATCAAGTTCTGGGACCCAAAGACTGGTCAAAGTCTGGCAACACTGTGAGTGTAATGTCACACAAACACGGTACCTTAAACAAATTGCATGATGACCTCTGACCTGGTCTGTATTCAGCCATGCCCATAAGAACACAGTGATGGAAGTGAAGTGGAATCTGAATGGGAACTGGCTCCTGACTGCGTCGCGGGACCACCTATGTAAACTTTTTGACATCCGGAACCTGAAGGACGAGCTGCAGGTCTTCAGAGGACACAAGAAGGAGGCCACAGGTGAGTCCACCAGAACTCTGAGTCACCAGTCACTCTGAGACAGTTAGTAGACCTAGTCACCTGTTGAACATTTTAGCAATCTACTATTTAATTAAGTGATTGAGTACTTGGATATTTGTCTACACGTGTTTTTGGGTTAAACACAAACATCTCAGACCTGCCTCCTGAAACATCTGAACCAGCTGATCAGCCTCAGTCAGATAATTCCAACAAGACATCCATTGATTAGCATCAGAGATGTTAGAATGATTGAAAGCATCTGATGAAGAATCACATCTACTTGAGTTGTAATGTGTACAGCGGTCGCCTGGCATCCCGTCCATGAGGGTCTGTTTGCTAGCGGTGGTTCTGATGGGTCACTGCTGTTTTGGCACACTGGGTAAGAACCAGAACTCTGATCAGAACCTTCAGACCATCGGTCCTACAGCATTGATTTTTGTGTGTGTGTTGCTGTGTGGTTATTGTTGATTGTGCTGTCAGAGTGGAGAAGGAGGTGGGGGGTATGGAGATGGCTCATGAGGGGATGATCTGGAGTCTTGCCTGGCACCCGCTGGGTCACATCCTGTGTTCTGGGTCCAATGACCACACCAGGTAGACACAATCCTAATAAGAGCCCAACCATAAGAAAAACACAGCACAAAAAACTTTGCCTGATTCTGTTTTGCAGTAAGTTCTGGACCAGGAACCGACCGGGAGACAAGATGAGGGATCGCTACAACCTGAACCTGTTACCTGGGATGTCCGAAGATGGTGTGGAATACGGTAAGTTTGAGGGTCAAGCTGCACTTGTATTTGTTTTTATTCAGCTCATTGCTCTGCGTTTGATTACAGATGATGTGGAGCCTAACAGCATGGCCACAATTCCCGGGATGGGAATTCCGGAGCAGCTGAAGGCAGCCATGGAGCAGGAAAACAACAGTAAGTTCTGAACTGCTATCAGAATCAAGTTTTACTTCCATATGTGCGAGAAATCACAACATTGGGAAATTGCTGCGGTACTTGGTGCAAAAATAAAAATAAGAGACAAGCAAATACAGGAAGTAAGAATATAATCATGATATGGCAAATGCTGTTATAGACAACATAAATATGTTGATTGAAGACAGGAAGCAGTGGCATTTTGATAAACAATATCAGCATAATCTATAACTGGGAAGAAAAGTTTAGTAGCAATATGGCTTCTTACCCTGAAATCAAAACAATTAATTGATTGATATATGATCTTTAGTTGAAAGCTGACTTTACCTGTAATTGCTTGAATATGATTTTTAAAGGAGAGATCTGAGTCAAGCCAGACACCTAATTATTTAAATTTGTTCACACATTTCAGAGAAGAGTCCAAAAAAGTTAAATTTAGAGATCCAAGAGGAGATGTGGAATATTTATGCTTTTGAAAAACTAGTGAGTATGACTTGGATTTATTAAGAACAATCTTGTTGTCAGCTAACCAATGCTGTAAATAGGGCTGCACGATATTAGGAAAACCTGCGATATTCGATAACAGTGCTTAATATTGCGATATCGATATTACTTGCGATAAATGAACAAATACTAAAGTATGCAGTGTTAATGTCGTCTGGTGTGTGACGTCTGCTCTGGGTTCAAAGCAAACAAAAACTAATGCATGAATTCCATTACAACATAACATTTTTATTGCAAAAATATGCAGCTGCACCTGCTACTGTATTAGCAGCAAAACAACAAACTGCATGCATGCAGTTTCTCAGTGACTTTAAAACATCACCACCACCATAAAACTTTTTCTGATGCTCCAAATACAGAAAAACATCCCTTACCAGGGTTTTTTGAAGAAATAAATAAAATCTAAAAGTAAGTTTAAATGTTAAATAAAAGTTAACATCACTTAAATGCAACAGGAAATTGTCTCATTGCTACTGAACATTTTCTCCACTTATGTGGTTATGATAAGGCTGTTGCTGTAATTGGGAAGTGAACTGTGCTGGGCCAAACTAGGAGAATATTAAGATTTTTTGAGGGAAAGAGAAAAACAATTGTCTACCTTTCAGAAGAGGAACTGGCAAAAAAAACTACATGGAAAATATGTGAAAACGTTTGGTTTTAACCCCAAATTGAACAAGTTTACCTGGATCTTAAAAAGCAGCTCAGATGATGAAACTGCAACTATGATTCTGATAACAAGCTAACAAATTAAACTAGCTCCTCTTAAGATAACCGGCTAGCAGAGCTTCTGACTGACAGTTTATATGCAGCAACAAATCAACTGATTAACAAGGTTATAAAAGCTCATAAATGAAAAATCACTTTGATGTGTGGGGGAACTTTTCCAGGCCCTCTTTAGCAGGGTGGGACTGGGAGGAGAGTGCTGTAGCCTTTTAGCTGGAAGCTAACTGGAGCATAAGGCTAACATCACCACCCGGTGGAACACTAGCGACATGAAGGTGGGTTGGTTCACCGGCACGTGTCGGAGTCAGCCCGGTAAAAATGATTAACGACACCGAGCGGAGTCACGTTCACGTTTGAAAGCGGCGCTGATTCCAGAAACCTCAGCACAAAGTGTGTTCTATTTCGTCTAGTCTTAGCCGTTAAGCTAGCTGCTATTGGAAAGATGATCTCAGCATCAGCCAATCATGAAGAGCTTAAATGTACGCCCACCAATGGTGGGCGCCCCTGTGGGTATATAAGTGGAGCGACTCCACTGTTCGCCTCCGTTATCGCTTCAAGCCAAGATTAAGAGCTTCCTTTAAAGAGCAATTATCCAAGAAGCATTCTACTCACCTACCATGTCCAGCGACGCCAGGACCTGCCTGGCCTGCCGGACGGGCTTCATCTCCAGCGGCGACCTGCACGCCAAGTGTGAGGTCTGTCTCGGGGCTCATCACGCTGGCCTGGCCTTGACCCCCCAGGCCTCGTGCCCGTTTTGTGCCGCTCTGCCCATGGCTAAAAAGATCCGCCGGGTCGAGTACCCCCGCCGCTGATAAGGAATTTCCGGTGGCTGACACGTACTCGCTGGACAAGGCCTTACAATTCTTCAACGTCGGCCAGGAGCCGGCTGGCTTCAACCGACTGGACAATGTCATCGACAGTGAGGAGTATGACGAGGCTGGCTGCCATAGCCCTTCTTCCCTCCTGGACAACACGGAGGTCGATGAGCCTCGCTCAGCGGGTCCTTCTGCTCCCCTGACTTCTTGCTCCTCACTGCCAGCAGTTAGAGCACTGCTCCAGGAGCTGCCTGCCATCATCTCCGCGGCTGCGGTCCGCAAGGGGCTAGCCGTGCCAGAATCGGCTTTGCCTGAAGCAGATGATTTGGCGGGAATTTTCGGGGCAACAGACGCGCTGTCCAGACCCCATATGGCCGCGCTTCCCCACTGCCATGAGCTGCTGGTCTGCCGCCTTCTCCGAACCTGCTAAGCTCAAGGTGCCAATTTCCACATATGCGCCCATTACCAAGATTGAGGGCTTCTCCGACCAAGGCTGGCCTTCCGTTCCTCCACTGGAGCCGGACTTGGCCTCGCTGTTTGGCGCCAAGAACCACCTCGCTGGCCCGCGAGCAGTTCCCGCTTCTAAGCATGACCAGCAGCTGACGCGGCTCACCGATCGCGCACACCAATGCGCCTTTTAGACCGGCGCTGCAGGAAATAACATCGCCCTTCTTGCCTTTGGCGTTTCCAAAATGGTGGATTAGCTTGGCTCTCCTGACGAGTCAAAAACCATCATTACTAAAACTGCTGATGCCATTCTCAATCTGTGCGCTGCTGGGTTCTGCTCCCATTGCTGCCTGGCAGACCCTTATCCAGTGGGCCTTGTGGCTCAAGGCCCTGCCCTCCATTCCTGAACACCTGCACAGGGAGATGCTGGAAGGTCCCATCATCTCTGACGTTCTGTTTGGTCCCCATCTTAGGAGTGTCATCGAGAGGGCTCAGAAGACAGCTGAACTGTCAGCCATGGTGCGATACCTGGTCCACCCTCGGTCCGCCTCTCACTCCGGCCGTTCCTCCAGAGGATGGGACGAACGGCGCGGAAACTTCAGGCGCCCAGCTGCACCGCCCGCCCCGCGGAGCCGGCCTCCCGCTTCGGCTCCACCTCAGCGGGACCAGAGAGTTGGCGGCCAACGGTTCCGAAAGAGCCAGCAGACACCGTCTTGGCAGTCACAGTCGCAGGAACCTCGCCGAAAGCAACCACGAAAATGACTCGTTGGGGGGAATGTGTGCGCTTCTGACTGTAATGTTAACTCTGTGAATGATTTTGGTTTTTAAATAAAACCCAAAAAACGTCACCTAGAGAGCACAGTCCTACAGTCCTCTGCAGAATCCTCTGCCGTATCCTCACACATGTTCCCCACACCAAGCACTGCGACACATCTGCATGTTCCCGCAGTCAGTCATATTACACGGCCAGCTGTAAGGGTGCGCTCCATTTGCGCACCAGCCCTAGCTTCCAGCCAGGCCCAACACATCCCGCTCCCCCACAACGTAGGGTGGGACGGGATGTCATGGAGCTGTCGCGACCACGCGCAGTGACACAGTGCGCGGCTCCATCCGCTGGCACTTTGTCATCCCCATGCACGGGCCCAGCTCCCACTCGTCCTTTATCTTTGGACTCCACGCTCCGCGGTGCGGATCAGCCTTTTCCAGCTGTTTCACACTTGCCCTTTCGAGCGCAGCCCTCCATGGGTCGCTCCCAGTTCTCTGGTGCGAGCGACGGCGGTAAGGGCGCAAACCCAGTCCTCAGACGTTGTTCACGTGACCTTGAACACGCGTCCGCTGTCGGAACGCGCGCAGGAATGGCGCCGCCTTTGTCGCATCAGCAAATGGATATCGGACACCATTCATTGCGGTCACACACTCCATTTTCAGTCCACTCCTCCTCCCTTCAACGGGATCGTGGAGACGACGGTCACATCACAGGAACAATCTCAGGCCCTGGAGCTGGAGCTGCGGGAACTTTTGTCCAAGGACGCCATTTCCCAAGTCCCTCGCGGACAAGAGCTCTCAGGCTTCTACTCCCGCTACTTCGTAGTACCGAAGATGTCGGGAGGAATAAGACCAATTCTTGACCTTTCCCTGTTCAACTGCTCCATAGCAGTGATGCATTTCCGCTTGTTAACAATAAGGCAAGTCCTAGAAACGTACGCTCCGGGGACTGGTTCACGTCAATAGACCTGAAAGACGCATACTTCCACATCCCAGTAATTCCCAAACATCAGAAGTTCCTGCGCTTTTCATTCAAGAGAGTTCAATACCAGTTCAATCGTCTCCCTTTCGGCTACTCACTAGCCCCGCGCACCTTCTCCAAATGTCTGGAGACCGCTCTGCAGCCATTGCGCACGGTGGTAATGAGGGTTTTATTTTACCTGGACGATCTGCTCCTATGCGCCCGGTCCAAGGACGAGGCGTCAGAGCAAACCAGGAAGTTAATAGAGCATCTGTCAACCCTGGGGTTTTCCATAAACTGGGAAAAGAGCTCCATCCTTCCATCCCAGTCGATTGTGTTTCTCGGGGCGGAGCTGAACGTCTCCCTAATGAGAGCACGTTTGTCTCCGGCGAGAGCAGCAGATCTCACCATGGTGATCTCCCGGTTGCAACCCCGCAAGATCGTGAGAGCCCTGTTAGTCATGAAACTTCTGGGCATGATGGCTGCAGCCCACGCTGTGGTGCCGTTAGGTTTACTGCACACGAAACGCCTACAGAGTTGGTTCATCTGCCTCCGGGTACACCCGATACGTCAGAAGAGACGTATGTTGAGGGTTCCCCCTTCAGTGGGCGGGGACCTCGCTCACTGGGGCAATCCCTGCATCCTCTCACACGGGGTTCCCATCGGACGTCCTATGTCACACGTATCTGTGTTTACGGATGCGTCACTGTTGGGATGGGGGGGGGGGGGGGGGGGGGGGCACGTGCTTGTCCCATACGGTGGCAGATCGCTGGCCCTCCCACACG